AAGTATTATTAGAAAATATTAAACTTTTCCTGAAACTGGGTTTAAGGTGAATGAAAAATGTTCATATCTTATGAAGATTTACTTGGATGGAGCATTTACTGCTCCATCCCAAACACCCTGGCACCGTTAAAAGATCCCCAAATCCTATAAGAATGGCTCCAGAGTTTTTAAATACTAATGCCAAAGACAGCTCATGAATCCATAGCTGACAGCACTAGGCAGCTCCCTAACAACAGCGCTGGTGCCATCTGTATCAGTCCCCATTTTGATACCTCTTTCAACAGAAATAAAATCAATCCTATCATTGGACATGTAATATCTTTAAACAGATGTGATTTAAAGACCACACTAATATGCCACAACTGGAAGGAAAATGGCCTTGTGTCCAGCCCTGTGTTTTCCATCAGCCAGTGGTGCTACAGGAGATCATCCTCCAGTGAAGCGCAGAAGCAATGACATGCTTTATGAGACCATGCTTTGTTAATGCTCTTGAAGTTGAGAATCATCATCAGTAACACCACTGGGCCACAATATGTAACCTGAAATGTGAATGTCATTCCGGACTGCAGTCAGACAAGGGGTGAGGTGTTCAGAAATTAATGAAGGTGACTTGGAAGTATCCATGCAGATAAAAAAAGCTCAAATGCACTCCCATGTAATACTGACTTTCCTCATTTCCCAAGGAGAGGATTCTGCAGGAGCTGTCAGCACTTAGCACAATGAAGCCGTAAGTGACACTGCCTACGCTGCTGTCATACAGCACTGCCCATCAGATGCTGTGCTATGCAGGCATTTATAATCAGTGGGTCTCTAATTAAGCAATCAATACTCTTCTGCTGTTTTTCAATGGATAAATCTATTTTCTTCTTCCCTGAGATGCAACGATAACAACAGACCAAGAGACTTTTGAATATTCTGGATGATATCAAACACTAGACACGGCCAGATACTTGCAGAATGTTTAGGTTTTGCATCCAAATTAATTGTTTTGGCACACTTGATCCAAACACATCACTCAGACCACTCCAATTTGGTATATTAGTTGTTACATACTGCCCTAACCTTGCAACCTGTTGTCTTTTCCAACATGTGGCAACCATGTAGAACACCCACTGTCAGCTCACACAGTCATAGCTACTGTGTCTTCATAATACGTTAATAATACATTGCTCTCTTCGTTTGGTGATTAAGGCTTAGAGTCAAAACCCAGGCACTTGATAGTTGTGCCAAATATGTGATAATTTTGTTTTAAAGGCTAAGAACACCCACTGTGAATGGACTGAATTTGCCAAAATTAATATTTTATTCTCACAATAGCCATATGCTATTCATTTGTACCTTAGCCTGAAAACAGCCATTATAAATATCAAAATCTCAGCAAAAACATTTTGCAGCAAATTAAAACAATTTATTGCACCAACAAAAAGGGGCAGACAGAACCTGTGAGGTCAGAGTGTCAGTAAGCTGGACTTCAGAGAATTCATCAGAAAAGAATTATCAGAAGTACTTCAAGCCCAAAACAAGAGCTTCCAAGCACATCAGAAGGAATTACAGGCGAGTAAGTCACTTGGATCAACTTGGTCACAAAGAAAACAATGTTATCGTACAGAGCTAAGACAGACTGGTCAGAGCAGGGATGGAACCACTGCACTTCAGGGTCAAGTTTAAAACACCTCTGTACTGGGCTTTATTGTATTGATATGGAGAAGAAAATGCAAATATTGTCCAGACCCTTAAAAGATCAAGCAAATCCAAACAGTCTTCCTTCCTTCCTTCAGCAAAAGTAAACATTTAAGGCAGAACTTGCCTGAGCTAATAACCAGCAACCTTCCCTCCCAGGTTTTCCTTCCCTGCTGTCTACAGAAAATCCCAGAGATAGAGAGTGAGAGACAGCGTGCGTGGGAGGTGGGAGGGAGAGTTAAGGAAGCAGAGGGGAGAGAGGAGGGTAAGGAAATAAGTTATTCTCTACAGATGGCCCAGCTCTGTAAATCCTTTCTTGCAGTCACTCCTTGAGCTGAGAGGTGAAGACATCCACTCCCTGTCTGCATCCCTGCACCTCACCACGCTTCAGGCACGAAGGAGTGGACAGAACAGTAGAAGCAAGTACTCAAGTCTTACCACTGCTGGACTCAGCAGTAAAGCACTTGCTAACTTCAGCAAGGCTAGGATTTTATGCCAGATTCACAAACAAGTCATCTATAAAATTCCCGATCAGGTCCCCAAACTATCTGTCAAGGATAAGCAAAAAACTGATGAGATATTTTCCCCAAAGTCTGCTGTTTCTGTAAGAAGGTTTTATTTTATTTGGCTCTAGCTGTAACGTATTGCTAAATGTCATTGTAAAACGCAAAAATATTCATTCATAAATATTCAGTAACATAGTGAACTTACAATGAACTACACTGGCTGTTACAGCAAATTTAACTCACAGCACACAGAATCCTAGAAGTCACACAATTAGATCTAATTTATCTAGCTGCTGATAATAGAAGTGTCGCACGATAATAAAGCAGATCCTTGCTTTTAGCACTACATAGCATGTATTCATACCACAGAGTGATTGCACAACTCCGAGGAAGGCAGTCCATTAACCTTCAGGACCTAAAGCTGTTACCATAAACAGTATTTGCTCTTTTACAAATGCATTTCTCTCCAACAGATTCCCCCACTACCCATTCTCACTTGTCCCTCACTTCCCATTCTCTCCCCATAGTAAACGCAAAAATAAAGACTGTATGAAGCAGGGTGTCAAATAAAGGTAACGAGCAGCCCTGTACTGATGTAGTGACATTCATTCTGTAGGCAACTGCAACCAGATATGGTACAATCTCTTTTACAGTCCTCGGACTGTATGTACAGGAATTGGTTTGAATGCTGTACAAAAACAGACCTTGGGTATGAAGCTTCAGCTGCCTAAGAACACAGAACTAAGGTCTAAAGCAGGAAGTGAATCACATCACATACAACTGAAAAATTTGTTACTTGGTGACTTCCTTCTTAGGCATGGCAATCTTTCTAATCTACAAGAGTATGGACTGCCTGGATGTTCGCAGGAAAAAGAGATGCACCATCTCAATGAGAAGATTCATGCTCTAAAAACAACACAAATTTTACATCTCTATCACATAAAATAAGGCCTGGATGCCATGAGTAAGATTTTTTTTCCTACAAAAGATGGCACAGGTATCGCTAGTATAACTGAATCCCATCTATGATCCAATCACAAAAAAGAATTTCAAGCTACCATCCCTCTTAAGCCACTGCTGAAAAACTGGTTCTTGAAATAACACAGGGAAGTGCTGCCCACAGGAATACTAACAACATCTCTTCCAGGAACCGGATACTTCACGTTTGGAGCCTATCAATTTGAGATAGATACACTGGCTGCTTCCATAGTAGTCACAGCAGTTTCAGGGATATCACATGAGAAACTGCTGAATAAGGTATTTTAATCAGTGTTTTCGTTTTGATACTCTTGAAAGTATTCTTTTTTTGTCCAGGTGATAATGAAAATTGAAGTTAGTGACAACAATGATCCAGTAACTTACTGCAAATCAAAGGAAAGACCATTGTTGCTTCTTAGTTAATGACTTTTCAACTCTGCATTTTTGTTGCATCAGTAATATTTTGGAAAGACAAGATTCACACCAGGTATAAATCAGTGCAACTCTAGTGAATTCCAATGGAATTGCACCAGACTCCACATACCGTAAGCCATTCTGTGTAGTTGCCAAAAAGAAGAGAGAGGAATTGCTCTACAGCATGGTTTGGCTCATGCTGTCCTCCTGGGGAAGAAAAAGTCCATCTACGCGCTTCTTCAAACCCAGGCTAAAAAGGCAGTATGAAGAATGTTTAAAAGGCTGAGTCCAGTTTATTCAGCCATGTCTATTAAGGAGTTTCTGAAACTGCGAAAAGGAAATATATTTGATTTATAATTGTAAATCTTAGAAGTGGAAATATTTCTCTAATAGTAACAGAATCTACCTGTAAGTAAACTTAAAGCATGTGAAAATACCAGCAGAAATCACGATAAAGTCACTAAGTCATAAACGCTTCCTTTTCAGCAGTTACCATTCAAATGCAGAGCACTTTTAGCAGCAATTTTTCCTAGAACAATTTTTCAGCTGTCTTACCCTACTTCACACGTTACCAAATCTTGGCCCCCAGTGAGAGTGCAGATGGCAAGCCTGAGGAAGGAAAAGAAGAAACGCAAAGAAAGAAATTGCTGAAACATAGCCCAAATTTCACATCAGTGGTTCTTAATTCCCTTTCTGAAAAATAGCTGTTTGCCCTTCTGCAATGGTTTTAAACACATTACTTTACACGTTTACATGACAAGTAAACAGTGAAATGAGTAGGACTGTTAAAAAATGAAAAACTAAATTCTTCTCCATATATTATGCAGACTCTGCAAATTGGGTGTAAGTGTGAGGTTGACAACAGGGTGGGGGGCAGAGTGAGGAAGTCTGCAACCACAAACTTAGCAAGGCTGAGTGTTCACTGTGTGTAGCAGTAGTAGAAAAAATAAGAAAGGAGATTTCTGCTTTTGTCAGTAGGCAGGTTCAGATTGTTAAAAGAATATGAAATCACAAAACAGTTTCTCCCAGCTTAGCTTGAGCAGCACCTCTCTTTTTAAACAGACTTCTGTTGGGTGTGTTCTCTCCTAAAAACAGGCAAGTGATCATTAAGCATAAAATCAATTCAATCTCAAAGACCATATGAAGACCCTCCCCTCCTTCAAAGACATGCTCAAACAGTGCAAATCTTCTATTTGAAACTGTATCTTTGATCCTCCTCCAGGCTAGCAGTGCTGTGAGACAGCTGCAGAAGAGGAACACCTGGAAAAATACCTGCAGAAAGGAGAATGTGTCACTGAAGGCAGAGTATCTGTCAGACCACATCACCTCCAGCTCACCCTGTGCAGCACTCTCGCAGAGCCAGCACGCAGATCTGTGCTGAAATCTGTAGGACCATAGCTGGCAACAGTTCTGCAGGTAAGCAAGCCCCTTTACCCAGGTAAGTGAAGGTGAGAATGCCTTTGCACTGAAACTTCATCTTTTGTGAGCAACTCTAATCACATGTAATTATATTTTATGTATGGTGTATTTGTTGCTTATTTTTCAAAATACTTTGCCTTTCAGCCTACTTGGATCTCTCTATTTTTGGTCCTTTGGGAGAAGAAATATTTCTGCTTTCTAATTTACCACTCCTGTATGTAAACTATCATACTCATTCACAACAAGGTCTATGGCTTTTACCATTATGGTTAGAGCTAACCTTCTTTTCAGCAACGTAGGCAAATAGTTCAAATGAATCTTGACTTACAGTTACTTCTGCTTAGGCAGTATAGAAAATTATTCAGATGACTCCAACCAAACTAACTTGGTATTGCAATTAATTCAGCATCTTGGTATGGGCATTTGGATGTATTATTAAGAATTTCAGATACTCAGTATGTTTTCTGCAAGATAGCCTTTCTAAAGAAGGAAGCAGCTGGAAGGCGATGCTTTAAAGGGGCTATGGGCACAAAAATGCTTTTTCACTTAGTTGGCTCCATCTGTTTGACAAGTTATGAACAGATGCTCCATATCCATCCAAATGCATTTTACCAGTGACCAGAAAAGTCAATTTTTCAGCAGACAAAACATCAGCATCCACAAGTGGAGACCAACCACTTTCAGAACCGTTCCCCTTTGAACTGGAACAGTTTGTACAGAAACAGATGTAATGTACAACAGGCAGAAATATGGGCCATTAAAATAAATGGATGTTATTTTTCTTTAATCTGAAGAAGGAGTTAGAAAGAAAAGTACACAGAAGTGAGAAAGAAACAGAAAAGAATCAGAAAGCACCTTCAGGAGAAAAGGGGCCAAGCCATTTGCTGCTGAGCTGCACAGCAGAATGGGGTTGTGCCCATCAGCTGCCCTCGCTTTGTGGCCCAGCTTTTGGGCTTAACTTTCCTCACTTTGCATCTGTGTTAAACAGTCCCTGTCAGGTCCTCTCTCTCTACTCCTAAAAACAAATGAAGAAAGGAGAATGACGGTGTCAAATTGATTATAAATTCAGAGTGCGTGTCTCCGTCAACACCTCCACCTTACGTGCCTTTTCTTAAAGCAAAAATGAGCCCTCGCTTCTCTCTATTTCCCCCGCAAACAACTCTACAGTTAAGCAATTTCTTTTCCAAACCACGTGCACACCCATAGAAAAAAGAAATCTGTCGGTTCACCAGCCTTCTTCTGAACTGGAGGTCCTCTGTTTTGACAAAATCCTACAATCTCTGTGAAGTTTATGAGTGCCTGAGTTCTTAACTTTCTGTCCTTGGTTAAAGTGCACTTGTGTGGCTCAGCTCTCTTGGCCACACAGCACACAGGCTGCTCAACCCGCTCTGGCTGGAGGCAGCCATGCCACCACCATCCAGGTGCTCCAGGCCTGCTCTGCACCCACAGACACCAGCTTCACACCAACACGGTGAGCTGGCTCTCTGTGTGAAGCATGGTCAGCACAGCTGAGAGGTCCCAGAGGAAGGTGACGGTGGCCACTGCATCCCTGCCTGACCACCTCACATGAAATGCCCATGTCAGATGGCCCCAGGCTGTGTGGGCCCTTTGGGTGAGCTGCCTGTGCCCCCGGACCTTACACACCAAGCATTCCTGAACTGTATCCTCACAGCTGTCCAGATTCGTGTCATCTAATGGTGATGGGTGCTACTCCAAAGAGATCACAATGATAAAAATCTTGTGTCTCAATGCTCTGGGCTGGATGAGGTGCAAACTTCCCATCATATGGAGTCACAGTGGTGTCATGACAGTCTGACACCAGAGAGCCACCCTATGTTAACCACTCCATTAGATGCCAGGTGTTAACAACTACCAAACATTTAGACTCCAAAGACAGGTAAGTCCTATTTTCAGGATCCAGACAACCTGAGCTCATGGGTATTAAACAACAGCAATGATTTTTTATCATTATTATGCTCTAACAGTGAAAAAATAACGCTGTTAAATCCAGTGAGATTACAACTACAGTCTCTTGCCTGGAATTCCTGCTATGACAAAGAAACCCTGCATGTGTCTCAGAGACACTACAAAATACTGTTCAAGGTTAAGAATACAAAGGTATAGTGAAACAAAGACAGCAGCAATTTAAGAAAGATATCCCTTAGACCTCAAAAAGTTAGGAAAGTGGTCGAAAAAATTGCTGAAGTCCAATTCAGTAGATGCTGCCTTTTCCAGCACTGAATCAGATCCTCCACAAAGAGGACCCATACACAAGGAGGCAGCCCTCAGAGAGGGAAGATTTATGAGAGCAGCCTCTCAGAGCCATCATGATCCTGGCAGGAACAGGCAGGGAATGCTGCAGTCATGACTCAGGCTGCAAAGGTGCTGCTTCGTTGTGTTGAAAGAGGCTTGAGTCCCAGCTGCACAGCATCACCAGGCAGAGTATTATGAAGTGTCTTCATGTTTATTGCTCAGCCCCACCTTGCAGCATTACCTTTTATTTGGAAAAAATGGATTATCAAGAGAACCCATTCTCTGATGGGTTTTTTAGAAATTTCAGAGGGGAAGAGGAGAGACCAAAGATGGTCATAGAGCAGGTATGGATTAGGCAAACTCCTAATACTTCCCAATGTTAGTAGAACAGAAAATCCTCCTGTTGAAGTAAAGCAGGATTTGAAGGGACTCATGGACAGAATGAGACGTATCTGGCTTAACAGAGGGCAATCCCTGGACTTCAAATGAAATTTTATTTAGTCACTCTTACAGTGTTAATATCTTTCAATGCAAATTTCAGTTTGGAGATTTTCCCAGTTCTGTCTCTGTGAACGATGAGCCAAATTATTCACATTTTCAGGCTACTGCAGTAACTGGAATCCTACAGACTATCAAACCATGCAATTATTCATGATACGTGTTGCTCTAGCCCTATGTGGCCTGGACCAGTGTCCAAACTCAGAGCTAAAGAGGCAGTCTGTCACTCACTCCCAGTACCACTTGAAACTGAAAAAAAAATTTTTTTAAAAACTTAACTTCTATTCTATTGTATTTTGAAAGCCAAAAAGAAAGTGAGTTAAAAAAAAAAAAAAGGCAATGTTAAAGCTATGACCAGTAGAGATGGAACTTTGATCAGTGGTTTGCAACAGCTTTCTGTGGTTATTGCATGTGTAGCCACAGCAGACCTATCACCGGCTGAGGTTTCTAGTGGTCAAAGGCAAAATACAACAAACTACAAGAGTTTTCACATGGGGGCTGCACATAAAATTACTGGTGCTTGGTAGCAGCCACGTGAAAGTTTAGGTTCTTTAATAAAACATTTGCCATTAAACTGAAATAGCATTCAGTCAAGCTGCAAAACTCATATCTTATTTGTTATATTTTTAAAATATTTTATTATAAAGCTTGTGAAGCTTCAGAAATACAACGTCAGTTTGTTTATCTTGCATACCCAGTTGCCGTATTCACAATGCTGATACTGTAAGGTTCATAGAGAATTAAATTATAGAATTAAAATGTGGTTCCTTCAGACTCCAGAAAACCCAGCATATTGTGTAATATTTATATTATCCTATTATCATATCTTATTTGATATGGGGAAAAACATTCAGATTAAGTTTTAGTCCACACAGCAGTATGGAGCAGCACCAGAGAAATAATTTAATAATACCTGATTCACAAAAGTCAGACTGATTAATAGTTTTTACCTGATTTCTTAGTTACCTGCCTCTTTTTCCCCTCTTCTTCTGCTCACTATTTTACACTCTGAAAAGTGAGGTATGCGTCCTTTCTGAAAGGTAAAAGCTGTCTTCTGCCCACAACCAAGTGTGTTGAGTACTTCAAGACAGCCAGAAGGCTGAAAATCACAAAGGGCACAAATCAGTATATTCAAAAACACTTTGGTATCATTCTTTTTTCTGAACCAGCTTACTGGTAATTGACGTAACCGGAAACTAAGAAATCTGCTGATAAGGAATTTAGTCAAATTTGCTTAAAAAAAAAAAAAAAAAAAATCTGAGTTCTTGCTGTAACACAGCTGTCAGTCATGGATTTTTATGTCCTATTTCCAAGGCTCTCTGCATAAACTCTGGAGCCTGCACTCTCCAGAGGTTAGGCAGTATATAGAGCACGATGAGACCTCTCAGCTTGGCTTGAAGTTTTTAATTCTGAGATTCAAACTCATTTAATGAAGATGAAATACACATCAAATCTTTTAATAAGCCTTCAGAACATACAACATGATCACAGCCTGCAAAGCTGGTTGGTCAGTGACCTAGCTAAGCAACGGACAAATTTGATGTTGATTTAATTCTGCAAACACCACCCGCAATAATTTGACATGGAAAGATTTACAGCCTTGAAAAAGTCATTAGAAAGGCTGCTCTGCAGTCGGTAAAGACTGAAGGCTCCACTGACGCTGAGGTTTGAATAAGGGGTGAATTCCCACCCAACTGGATGGCAGCGTTAGAGTTATGTTGGCCTATTTCTGTGTAAGCAGAGCACCCGAGTTAACTCCAACCACATCAATGTAGTTCTACTGATAAAGAGCAGGCCCTAAAATTTCCTATAAAGCAACTGCTTCCAGGTAATACCAGAGATGTGGCAGCAAAATTTACATAGCAGTTACTTAGCATCATGCATTAAGCAGACCAGTACTGTATTTCATAACACATCCAATCTGTTGCTGTAACAACTGTTTTTATGAAGTAAGAAATCTTTTTATGAACAATCTTAACCTTAGTGGAAAAAGGTTAATTTCCTCTTAACACTAGGCTCTTTGCAATGGATTTATATCAGTTAGCACTCTTACTTCATGTTTGCTCCATGCAGAGGAATGGGGTGGGGGAAGTTTTTCCTTTTCTATTAAATAAAAAATATGCAGAGGGAGGTTGAATATCACACATCTGGCACAGTGCAGGAAAAGAAATGCAACATGACTGTGGTAAAAACAAAGGATAATACAGAGGGTGTAAGAGATGTTTCATGGAAAAGGCACATTAAAAGTCTGAATGGTCTTCTTGAGTACTCTTTGAATCACAGTTTTGAGTATCAATATGGGTGAAATTAAAAGGGGGTTCATTTGAAGCATGAAGAGGCTTTATACATGTACTGGTTCATTGGCTCTTTTACAGAAAAATCTAATCATATACTTGAATATAAAAATAATACCCCAATTGGACTGATTATTTTGTTTCTACAGAACATCCAACATTACAACAGTTATCAAAATCATTATGAGACAGAAACACTTCAAGGGATACAGATTGTCTTCCTTGTGACTATGGCAACATATGCTGTAGGGTAGTATTCACACAGTCTTCTTTAGGCATCTAAATTTGGGTGTCTATGCTATAAACCTAGTTTCCTTGTGAAACTGGTTTAAAAATGCAGACCTCTACTTTGATTTCTTCTGCAAAAGTACCTTTTAACTGACTACCTTCACAAGAAACATATTTTCCTAGTTAAGCTCCTAAACTCAGCTACACAATAAAGTATGAATACCCTTTCCTGACTGATTTTGCTTTGTCTGGCATTCCTATTTGATTCAGTTATTGCACTTATTTTACTCCCTGTAATTGATTATCAAGGTATACATAGCAGAAACACAAGCCTTTAAAGTTTTAGGAAGATCCACTCTAGTCATTTCAACATTCTTATCCAAATTAACAGTACTGTGCACATCAGTTCATCTCTCCTCACTTTGACAGCCCACCCCACAATATGTTGAGTGCCCTAAACCCCTACTGTAGTCAATTCTGCAACAAGCAAAATTGCTGTGGACATGCTCCTGCTACTGCTGTAAACACTGCTAATGGCAGTAACCCCTTTTCTCTTTGCTAACAATCCTATTTGGCTAACTTCTTTGTTAAAAGCCTATGGTAAAAATCCTTAAATGCCTAACTATGAACTGACTTTCATGAATGAATATGTTCACTATAATGATTTTTCTGAGACCTGGAACACCTCCATCTGCCACCAGCTCCCAGCCCACTCTGCCATCTAGCATTACAGGAGTGCAGGGACTGCTCCTTCTCATATTCTTTCCCTTCTTGCTCTTAACCACCATAAAGACAATGAGGAACTGAGAGCAGCTGTTAATAAGAACAAATATTCTTTATCCCAGTAATTACTGCTGCCTTCTTTCAACAGCAGCATAACAAGACCAGGGAATACCCACACCCCCACCTTTCTCCACCTCTATCACTGAAGCTGGTCCTCCTGTAGTCAGCGCTGTTCACAAAGGATCAAACTGTTTTTGGGAACGGGAAGAAAATAATACTCAAGATCACAGAACTTTGCTGAACATACCTCTTCCTGCAGTCCTAATTTTTTTTGTTTGAATCTTTCTCCTTGGCAACAGAGATAGGGTTGCAGATGGTGAACACACTTGATAACACATCTTTCATCATTCACGTTTAACCAGCATATTGCCACGTCTTTAAGAGTCAAGAGATACATTACTTTCCTAATGTCAGTAACAATGTTTGCCATTCATTTTATTCAGAAGCAATTGCAACTGATGAAGAAGATACAGAAACCTACAGATAAGGCTTACATGAAAGGCCTTATCTTTTAGTCAAGGCCCAAGTTCCTTTGATGGTATAATAGAATATTTTTTGGTAATCTGCACTTTAGTTCCGTCAACCCAAAGGATAAAGTATAAGCCTCGTTCTTTTACTTGAGACTAGCAATAATAAAGGTCATGCAGAACAAAGCTTGTATATTTTTACAGGAATGCTCAATGCTTGGACTATCCTCTTCTGCTTCCCTGTCACAAAGGTTAATGCCCCTCATTAATCTATATACGCATTTATGTGTGTTCATCATCATGGTACCTGAACATAGTATTAAATCAAAAACATAAATAGTGCAGCTTCCTGTGGTGTAGCTAACCCATGCCTGACTTGGTGAGAAAAGCCACTGAGTTAAAGCCATGTTCCGCTTATGTCTACGAGCTATTTTGCTCAGCTACGTTTGTTATTTTACTGTCTGCATTACAGCATTCCCTGTGCAAACTTGCTTAGTGTCATACAACCTCACATCGTACATCAACTTGTAGGTTCCACCTCACCTCATAAAGTTCTCATTTTCACATCAAATTTTGCAACAGAGTGCTACAAACATACCACATCCCAGCCTGAGTTTCTCTCATTCAGAGACTCCTGCACAAAAGGAGGATTTGGTGCATCGCACGTGCAAGGTATGCAATCACACCTACCTTTCTATTTTCACTCTCTACAGAGTGTCAGCTTCCCAGCTTCTCCCCTTCCTTTGCCTTCTAATGCAGTGCCAAAGCCTACACAATATCAAGGGGAAAGAGACCATTTTTCCACTCACCAACACCAGTTTTTCTCGGAATATTCAAACATTTACCACAGAAGGAAATCATCATGCAGAAAGTGAACTTCCTCTGTAAGCCATCTGATCTGATCCAGTTTCACTGAGACTGTTGATATTACAAATCTCATAACAAGTCAAAACTACAATACAAATCCTCTTTGCTCTAGGGATGAAACTTGCATAAACAGTATTACAGATGTCACATGAATTTGAAAATGTCCCTAGAGGAAACTAAGACCCAGTTTCCAGAATTTGTCTTAATTTTTTTTTTTCCCCTCTGTACTGTTCAGGGTATCATTTAAATTTACCTACCATAATGAAAACATTCAAAACTACATCTTTTCCATGACAGAAAAACACAGTTCTAGCATATCAACAGTGGAATAGACCTAACAGGGACTTTGTTCAGAGGTAACTGTTTACATAACAATCTTGGTTACTTAAAAGATTTAGGAATCTGCTAAAGGATGACAGCTGCAAATACTGAAGAAGGTCCTGAAGCAGGGATTTTTATCGATCTGCAATACAAAGGCATAAACTAATGAAAGCACTCTGCCAACTGGCCTTGAAGTCATTACACTAATAAACACAACAATGATAATTTGTTTCTTCCATTCAATGTATCTGTACTACTTTATGTTTCCAAGTGTTATATTGTATAATTATCAAGATGTTTAAAGTTTTATTGCTAGAACATAAACTCCTGAAGTTAGCTGACATTTATTCTCATTTTATGGACACCAGTTCCTGTTTTCCCTGATTCTTTTTATGATCTGACCAGCTATAGGAAATATATATATATTTTTTGACTCTTCTTCAATCCATGTTTTTTTTTGTTTGTCATTCCTACTCTGTCTCACTTTTCCATGAATCATTGCAGTGAAATTATACAACTGGCTAACCTACTTGTCATAATGCTACAACTTTTCTAATGCAAACTAGGAGCTAAAACAGTGACAAAGCAATGGAAAGAGAAAATGAGTCTTAGACAAATTAAGAGATTAAAATTCATGCTAAGTTTTGTGTATTTTGATGATTACATAACTTTATTTGCAAGTAACACTTAAAAATACCAAAAGCCTATCAATGATTCATGGAGACAGAGCAGTAAAAGGACTAATGCCACTTATTTCGACAAGAGCAAAAGAAAAGAGTGGGCCAACAGTTATAGAGAGGCTTGGCTTTAACGCATGTCCATTCCAAACTGCCTTTTTTTAACCTAGAAACTCAACTCCTTGTCTTTTGTATGTAGAATGTGTACTTGCTTCTCAAAATAATGATAATAATGATAATAATGATAATTCAGACTTGAAATCTATTGGTAATATCTGCTCTTCACAGCCAATGTTGCTTTCCAGAGAGAAGCGGATGGGAAAGAGCACCAGGGTCAGGAATACCTGATGCAAGTGGTTCAGCTAATATGTCAACATCTATAGCCTATCTACTTCTTGCTGAACCCAGGACTGCTCTTTGGTAAAAATGTAGGAGAGGAGTTTCAGCAGGGAATACCTGCATGTGTCTTATACACCTTCTTATTTTCAGGATGATATGGTGTACCAGTCAGCACTACTCCAGGCTACATTCATGTCTCACTGCTTCCCAGGTACACAGAATGCAAGCACGTCATCTTTTCCAGGAAAACATAATTCAGAGAAGAATGTCATAGGTAATTCTAGCTTACTCACAGATATACTAACTCCATGCTCAGGGGTGATGTATTTACACACATTTTACCAAGAGGTCTAGCATGTGGGGATTCATAATCTGTACTGAATTATCACATAAATGTTTGATCTGTCTCTATTTCCTTAACAAACTTGGCTTGCTCTTTTTCAGCCTTCAAAATTACCAAGTACTACGATACCATGGTGATGGGAAAAAACAGACACCGAAAAAGACAGATTCTGTTCTTTTTAACTGAAATGCAAATTCCTTGTTTCACACAGGAAATTTTAGTTAGAATGACCACACAGACAAAATCTTCCCAAAGGTGAGTTTTGTGAATGAACAGTTGACTTAATGCAAAGCTGAGCTTTGTCCGTATCTGTAGAGTCTAAGCAAAGAATGACACGCTAGAAAAAGAGAAAATTATATGTAAAAACAACATTAACTGGGATCAGATTATACTAACATATACAAAAGAACAAAGAAATATGGAGTGGTTGGAAAATTATGGTTGCATAACTGTTATGGACTGTATTCAGTGAATCATGTCTTTCTACAAAACAGTTGGAGGTCAAGCCTATTGGTAACTTGCATGAGCATGTTATAAGACTGGCAAAGCACAGAACATGCAATTCCTGCAACATTTGTCTTTAAAGTGACAGAGCTATAAATGTAAGAACAAAAATCACCATGCAGAAAAATCAAGTGTAGTTAGTGGGAAAAATTTCAGCGATCAATTAAGCATTGCTTAATGTGTGGTTCTACTTCAAATGCTTGGGCTCCAGACAGTTACATGGAAATTTCAGCTTTCAGTTTCACACAGTTTCAGTTGTGTGTGTATATATATATTTTTTTCTAAGTTTCTAGCCTTCAAGCCCCTACCAGCAAGTCCAAAACTTGAAAATATGAAAGACAGAAGTCTTAAAAACTAGAAGACAAATAAAAATTCTCAGTTATTTGAAATTTCCAATCTTTAAAAATGTTCTTTGCAGTCTTGACTTGCAATTGGAGAGCCGAGACTAGCAGTAAGTAGCACTAGCAGTAACACCGGCAGAAATCAACACAATGTAAATCAGCATAAGCAAGACTTTTAAAAAGAGTGTCATCCTTTGTGACACAATATTCAACTAGCAACCATATATATATGATCTGCAACAGATATAAAAGCCAAACCTTATTCTTTACTTATCACTTGAGCAAACAGGAAGCTGGAGCAAGCAAAATCAGACAAGCAAGGCATGAGGGGAAAAAAATCGTCTCTGCAAATTACTGAAAGTTGAGAGCTGCAGGAGCCCCTGGTACCATTATCCTTCTTTGTATGGAAAACTTTCTTTTTAGAATAATTCAAATTCAGTGTCATTGCTACCCTCTAACACAAAATCTCACACAATGTTTTGCATACCAGCTCAAGATCTCCATAAATAGCACCATGCAAAAAAGAACAGAGCCATCTCGTACCCTGTAGGTGGCAAATGATTAGAAACTTAAATATATTGCAAGTCATGTCTAATATTGGTTTACACCCAACATAGCTACACAGCTGTCAGCATACAAACCACTAAGTTCGTACCTCTGTTTCTGCAACCCTAACTGTGTCAAGCAGCATCTGCTAACAAGTTTAGTCTCCTTAAGAAGGATTTAAAATATTTTATCACATAAATTGAACATTTTATCATGTGGATTTCAGAGTAATAGTCCTTTTGATTTGCACACAGCTTGAAAACATGTCAGACATTTCTTTCAATATCTCTTGCCAGCAAGCTATGGAAAATGGATTTTATTTCAGGCATTCTGGATTGTTATTGACAACAGAATGGTTTTTCTGCCTGCTATATGAGTTTCCAGGATCCCAGATTTATCCCTCAATCTCCACACTTCTTGTTCCCTAGCAGCTTGTGTAACTTACCAGTGATACATTCCTCAGCATGGGCTGTCAGTTCTGTACCCATCTGCAGTGACGTTTTTAAGTCACTAACAAGATGACCTAATCAGCATCTGTTCTTGCTGTGCCCATGTGGTACCATGGCTTTTTTTTTTCTCTTACCATAATTTTTTTCACAAGTAAAGTAATATTAAGAAATTCTAAAGTAACAGGTAAAAAACATTTTTACATAAGCAACCTTCTAAAATCATTTCAGTGACTTTTAAATTATTGACACATCACATCACACCTGACTACAAAAAGAAACAAACAAAAACAACAAAAAACAGGATAAGAGCTTGTTTTACTTCTGATTCCTTATTTTCATCTTTTCATTTTTAGGAGAGGCTCTGCTGTATAGTATGCTACTACGTGTGATTTTCCTAAAAATTTAGGAGCAAATTTGAACATATTCTCGCCTCTAGCTCATCTGGATTCTGAGTCAAAATTAGTGTCCCATTACTTGGAATTTACAGGATTCATTTTTGTTTCCATAAAGCTTCAGATAATCTTTGACATAGGTTTTATTTCCAGGAAAAACTGTGCATGCTGAAGGTAGAAAGCAAAGGAAAGAATGTTTCCAAGAAGCCATGAAGACGGTGACATGAAAGATATAGGAGGAACGAATTCAGAACAACACAAGAAAACACAGATGATGGTATGACAACACATGCGCAGAAGGCAAATTTTACATAGTATTTACAAGGGTCCACTGGAACCAACTGTCATTGAAAAGGTATAGAAAAAGAAAGCAGACCAAAGCCTGCATCAAGGAAGGGGCAGGAAAAGGTATACTGCAATGCACATCCCTGTAGGCATGGCTAGCCTTTGAAAAGTACAGCATGATCTCCCCTGCGTCACTGTGGCCCACTAGCTGGTATCCAAGGGGAGGAAGGGGAAGAAAACAACCCACCAACCACCTGTCCCCTTTGAAGCATCTGGTGCCAATATTTGTAAGAGAGAGCCTTAATTTTAAACCCCCAAACATACAGACAGATTGTCTTTTTACTCTCACCCACCCTTAGAAAACTGCCTCTGTCATTGTTCGGATCTTTGGGAGCTAACTAACAGCCACTCAGGTCAGAATCAATATGTATTTTTCCTTTTCTTAGCCCTGGAGGGGGTACATACAATACTACACCATTAGCACACACACCAGTGTGTGCCAACTATCTTGGTTGAGCCACGCAAAGCTTAGCCTCCTCACACAATGGTTAGTTAGTGCATTATATACAAGAGCGAGAGGTAAAAAGTTACAGTTGAGTAAACACAACACCTTTACCTCATTAAGCACTAAATGCAAGAGCATACTCCATAACCTCAAAACTGTAATCATATATTTCTATAACCAGCAGAGCACAGCAATCAGCTCCAATCCATGCAATGCAGTTGTATGGTGATATATTTGCATTGAATGTCATGTTCCAAATTGGAACTGGCAAGCATCTTAGCCTCACACAACAATGCCATATGGAGTTACATCTGATATTGCTTGAGCAGAACTCCCTTCCTATCCAGAATACATCAAACGGTGCCACAGATACGCTATGGCATTTAAATAGTAATAATGCGGATGTGAGGGCTAAATTAAAAATGTGTTGCATATTAGAATCAACTTGTGCACTAAGATTAAAAAAAAAAAAAAAAAAAAAAAAGGATTCACTGGCTTTTGGCAGCAGAACTTACAGATACGTAAAAAAAAATTTACGTAATTACCTATAAGTCAACTTTCATAGTGGAACAATTATAGGACTAAAGGCCCTTCAGAGTTATTAGCACAGCGAGAAAAGGTCAACCAGCAACAAAGATTTTGTCGCAAGCAGATAAAAGAGGAGCTGTGCACCAGAAGTTGCACATCAAGTAAAACTGACAGCAGGGCTGTGCTTTCTGTCAGAAATGGCAGCTCCATTTCAAACATTGTTTTATACTGTACTGATGTAAATTTTGTGCTTGTGCAGGTCAGGTTGATGTTTTCCACTTGCACGAAGACCAGCCAAGATGCATGTGCTCCCTCACCAATGGGCTTCAACTCCAATCAGCTAGGGTCACCCACAGGGAAAGAAAAGTGTCTCAGATCTCTGATTTTACTATTTCTACGGAATTAGTAGTTTATACAGTTATAGCGTCCTGTGACTTTGATCAAAATTCAACCATTTTATCTCAAGAAAATTAAGATTATCAGTGATAACCTATTGCAATAGCTTTTCTTTTTTCTAGCACCAGACCCCTTGCCCAACACATGCCATAAACTAAGGTTTGATGAGACATCAGACAGTACCGTTCATTGCAGCTCACAGCAGAATTTCAGAGATGTTGTGCCACTGGAGTCCTGTTAGCAATTGACAAGGTTGCTGTTATCTCCTGGGAAGTCTGTTTTCAGTGGAGCTCAGGTCTAGAAACCTGGACAACAGAACCAAAAGGCACACAGTCCTCCCGTAAAAATGATACCATTACTTTCATGAAGAAACTCGTTAAAAAAAAAAAAAAAAAGGTTTTCTCCCAGAATCATTTAACTATTGTTTTTTCAAAACCTTTTTTATTTCACATGTTTTAGTTTTGGTACGTGGCACAATAAATATTTCAAGAAACCTACAGTGACTAAGCATTTGATGGGTCAAATACCAGAGGTTTTTCTTCAGTTCACACAGATTCACTAATGACTCCCCTGGGAATGCAGGTTGATTGAAGACAACAGGATTCCTAAAATAGTTTACTTTTTCCTGGAGCACACTGCTAACTTATATTTGCAACCTGCTTTCTGAAGGTCAGCACACTTCCAAGATGTCCTCTTCCACCAGTACAGAAACAGGTCTTACTCAGCCCTCAACACAATGTGACCACTTGCCTTATTCTCTACCTACTCTACAGTACCACTGGCCTTCCAGAAGAACAAGCCAAACCTGATTCCACAACATGTTTACAGAGATCCCAAGTTAATGTATTTACAAGACAGCTTTCCAAAGCTCCAAATGAAAAAAAAAAAAAAAAAGAAAGAAAGAAAAAAAAGTTACTCTTACTCTTCAAGTTATTTTGGTTATTTTGTAACTGTTATTAATATTATAGCTTCAGCTATTCAAACCATTCAGAGCATCTAGAAAACAGGAATATTATATTTTACATAGCACAGCATGCCCATACCTGCCAAGTGCTGAGTTCCTTCAGTGGAGCACAGAATTGACTGCTCACAGGGACCAAATGACCAAGCCAACCCACCCAAGGCAGGGATGCAGCAAAATGACCAAACTACAACAGCCTGTTACTTTTTCACTGACTTTAGCCACACCATCAAAGCTCCCAAGTATTTGGATAGCTTCTGAGCAGAAGCCCAGGGACAGCAGTCAATCTAGATAAGACGGGTTTTCATCATGCTGCTCATTAACGCAGAGATCAATGTAGACACCCCTTGAGGCAAGTCCACACAAAGATAAGCCTTAAATGTCAGAAATGCAGAACTCACCCTGCTCCTTTCCCATAAGCTCTGTCGCAACAGTTGGTTTCTGACAGCAACGTCCTGTTGCCCGTCATCAGGCTTGCGTTCTTCAGGGCAGCCAAGCCACCCAACTATGCACAGTACTGTATGGGGAGTACCTGAGGTGGAGGAGCCTCAGCTGCAGAGTTTATTCTTTCGTGCTGGTCAGACTTCCATTTTGAAGATACCGTGCCATTTGGATACCTCTAATTTTTTTTTTATTTTATTTTACTTGGGGACTCAAGAAACAAGTAGAAGATGGCAGTTCTCTCAACTGGCTTGTTGACAACTTCCTTTTAAAAGCTTTAATCATATGCACCCAGACAACAGAATAACAGTGCGATATTTAAAAAGGACCATCTAAGGGTGTTCTTTTCTCTCTGAATAGCAGCAGAAATACTTTCTCTGTATGAGGATAGCTCATTAGGCACTTTGGGTGTGTTGAAGATTTAAAAAGCTTTAGAACATTATTTGTGTTCTTGTGAACTTTCACAAGAAATATTTCACAAAAGAAATTATTCTAGGAACAGATAACTTCCTGCGAAGCAAAATAATGGAACAAAAGAATCTCCTGTTTCCATGGGAATGTGATCCAGGCATTAAAACAGAAGTGTGCCAAGCTCAAGATGCCAGTGTGTGAAGCTTGTCAAGTGATCATTTTCACATATTTAGGAACTAACTGTCTCATAAAATATGCATTAAATACAACTTGTCTGTCCATTAAATCCTTTTGACATTTGAGTGGTTATCATTGAACCATACCTTCTCGTACAAATTTTAACCTAACTTCACTTATGTGTAATATTTCTACGAAAGTCAATGCGATCCATCAGTCTCTCAGAGGTTCTACTTTAAAATAGCAAGTCTTTGCTTCTGAATTGCTTTGGACTAGACCTGGCATCTCTAATTTTACTGCCTGATGCAAAGATCAGATAGTTATATTCAAACCCGACCACATTATATTAAAGTATGTTTGTGTGCAACTACTGCTACTTGAAGAGACAAGACCTGTGCTTGCTGGTTATAAATAACCAGACATTCCCTAACCTTCAACTGGAGGTAGGTCAAAGCTACAGCACTCCAGTAATATGTATGAAGCGAGAAAAACAGAGCAAGGACTTAATGGTCAAATTCTACTTTGTAACCTGGTATATTAGAAGCAAGTAACAGCAAGTTTAATAGCATTATGTGCCATGTAAAACCCTATTATCCTCAGGCAAGTAGGGAAAGCTTTTGAAAAGCAGCTAATGGTTTTGGATGGCTCATATATTGCAAGCCTACAGGAGGAACCTGAAAGAGGCTCAATTTTCAGAATATAAATACTTAAAATGTCCTGAAAGATGTCCCAATTTGCCAGTCAAAATTTGGTCTACCAGTCACAAATTCTGTGGCTCAGCAGTGGAGAGGCTAGGTAATCACTAGCACTCTCAGTCTTATAAGGAATCACAGTCCAGGGATGACACCAGTAACTGATACTTTTCAGTGCAGTTCTCTTTTGTCTGTCGTTAAAATATACAGTATCCAAAATCTAGAATTTTCCCAATACATGCAAATAGCAAAAAGTTAAGTCACATAAATTTCACAGACCACATACATTTTTCATCCATTGACCATCTTCATTCTTCTTTCAAATAATTCATCATGCACAGGAAGACATATAAACAAGGGGGAACAAAGTCAAATTGTTTGCAGTAATAATGAGACAATTACATTTTAGCAGATTCAATTTATAAAAATATAAAGGTTTTAATTTTACATGAGCACACGTAATAAAATTATCTTGGAATTTAAAAGTACTAATTTCACTTCTGTTATATTTCTCAACTCTAGCTGCTATGCTACTAGTATATTGATCCATATTTGTAAACAAATTTTGAACAATGCTTAAGCAATTTATAAGTCCTATTTGCAAAAAGAAACAACTGGAGTGAATAGAACATATGTAGCTTTAAATGCTGAGCTCCCTTTGCAAATCAAGATGACTCTAGATTACTCTAAAATGATTCTAATTATTCCAAAATGACCTTATTGTCCTCTCAGCCTTGTTGCTGTCTGTAATATTTTGTAATGATTTTGTAATATTTTGTAATAATGTTATGGGTTTTTGTTTGTTTGTTTTATACTTTTTCCCAACTTCCTATCCTCTCATGGCTAGGCTGTTTGTAAAACTGCTTGACCTAGAGGCTCAAACCAAGCTTGAGAGCTTCATTAGACCAAGTGTGTGTACAGAACTTGAAAACAGACAGAGGAAGCCATCCCTGTTTTAAACACAAAAACTAGGACCAGAAAACTATAAAATTAAATAGACAAGGTGCATTTGAGAATCTGGTCTGAAGTTATTTCCTGCTTTCATAAAAGGTATCTCCAGAAATGGCAGAAATTAAACTCAAAATTGCAGATTTCCCAACCTATTGCCAGACATTTTATTTCTGTTATCGTGTACTGTTTTCACTTCTACATTAGTGAATAACTTTTTTCTTGGCAAAAACTCTTAGCATAATAATTGTATGGCGTGCTGCTTCTGAAGAGTGGAGGTATGAGGAAAGGGCATCTGCTAAGACGGCAAACTCTTTACATCTTCCTCTACAACCTGCACATCCTTAAAGAGAGAAGACAATCTCAACCTTATTGAATATACTTGCCCAATTAAAAATGAATTGAAAATTAAAAAAAAAAAGAAAACTCACTGCATTGCATCTACTTAATTTATTCCTCTCTAACTAACCAGCATCTGTTCCTCTTTGTTCTGAGTTTACACGAACTAAAAAAGAAATACCAAAAACTGCATCAAACTATGAATGCTTTAGTATCAGCACCCACATCTACAACACTTTACTAAAAAAGATGGCCAAAGCCCTGGTTGCATTCCCAAATGAAAAACAAACCCATTTGAATATAGGATTCTCAACAAACAAAAGGTAGCTGCTAGTTGCTTATTAAGAAGATAATGACTAACAAGCAGGTAGGATTAAGCTGTGCAGAATCTGTGGTTCTATTTTTGGAAACTGCAGCCTCAGGCAGAATGCTGAGGTACTGTGAATTACATGAATTATGCTAACATGCTTCACAGTCGCTTACTAGGCATGCTTCCTATTATCTAGACAGGATAAGAGTCTAAAGAACATCTGTACAGACTGAATGAGAGCCAAGACCTCAGTGGATGATCCTGCTAACATCAACTTTTTTGTTGAAATTATCCGGACTAGACATGTTGTAAGAAAACTAACAATTTGGAGGCTGACTCTTCCCAAAAGAAATTATTTTAAAAGATAGTTTAGAAATGCCAAGTAAATAAACAAATGGCATTATGTTCACTTTTGGCAGGATGCAAAAGATAAATAATCTGATCATGTGGAAGAGGAGCCGACTTCCAGTATAAATACATATTCTAATCTCTTTGTGTTATAAAAAGAGAAAACGGATAGGATTTAGGTCATATCCTCAACACCACAGAGAACATTCAGAGATAGGCACCACATCTGAATTCCAACACAGCCTCCCTCCTACATGATTGTAAGTGGGACCACAGTTTCGTCACTTCACACTTCTTCTTGAATCACTGGGTACAACTGCTGATGCCATCATTAGCTCTCCCACTGCTGCTTTTTAATGTCAGAATTCAGATCATTGCTAATCACTGGGCACCTCTCATCAGACTGCTCAGAATACATCTTGTTACATCTCAAGAAAGGACGCAGAGTGGAAGTTGCAAATAGGACCCACAAAAATATTTCAGAAAATAGTAGGACTCATAAAAACTCTGGCAGTAGAGATGAAATCCAGTTTGGTGGGATGTAGAAGAATCCTTGGAAGAATCAGGAGAATGCTTAGACCCCAGAAAGCAAAAACACACATTGTTGTCAGCAAGGACAAGGAAAGCATCTGTCAACTCTACTATACTGGCTTACAAGAAAAATATAGGGGAAGAAAGGGCAAACAGAGGAAAAAAATCTTTCACCCAAAATAACCATCACATTATGCTGGGCGACAGACAAGTCTGGCAAATGAAGTTCATCAGATTCCCAGTGAATTGCCATCTCCATTTGCGTGTACAGAAAAATCACACTATTCTTTTCTTCTGCGATGGCTTCACAATGTAACTTATTCATATGAAAATGGTAGATGCCACGGATGCTTTTTTTTTTTTTTAATGTATCTTTTGCTCGTGGGAACTCCTCCAAAAACATAAGCAAGTTCCTCTGAGAAATTTTCTACCCTTAGCCAACATTGCAAATGACACAGTTGATCCAAGAATTGAATTTCTAATATTGTAAAACTAACTCTTCACTGAGCTGGATTTACAGCATATCCTTTACACCCAGAGGTGGAAGTTCAGGACAGAGAGCATTTTTGTAACATTTGGAACTGAGAATCATGTCCATAACATCTATATCCAATGCTTACATTAATACCCATCTGTTCAGATGGCGTGGTGCCTACTTTGAAGTCAGCAGAACCTGTGCTCTAGGGCACAGATGCCAAGAAGTTATACATGATTTTCACAGCAACTCTGTAAAGACCCTACATATACTGAAAGGGTTGTTAGGCACTGGAACAGGCTGCCCAGGGAGGTGGTGGAGTCACCATCCCTGGAAGTCTTCAAAAGACGTTTAGATGTAGAGCTTAGGGATATGGTTTAGTGGGGACTGTTAGTGTTAGGTTAGAGGTTGGACTCGATGATCTTGAGGTCTCTTCCAACCTAGAAATTCTGTGATTCCGTGATATTGCAGAAAGGTTCTTTTCCCTCTTCATTAACATAGAGGCACTGCCATCGGAGAAGCTCGAATGAACTTTAAAACACTGAACAGTTTTCAAAAATGAGTGAAAAGTGACAGAACGACTTCATGGGGTTTCTGGCTGTCAATTATTGCAGCAGCTATAATAAAAAAGTAGTGTAAGGAGAAAATAATGACTACTGTCCCCTTCATTCTCATGTGGGCATAAGGGAGAGAGAAGTTGTAAAGGCAAAGATGAACGACTCAAAAACTTACAGGAAAAGATAATCTGAGCTGTGAACATAACCCAGATGGAGCTCTGAACATAACGAACTCAGTGGCTATGAGAAATGGGTATCGAAAATAAGAGGATTTCATGGGATCTTTTACATCTGATACCGTCTCTCAATCTGTTAAGATGCATGCTACATGGAAGAGCAAATGTACTTCAACAGTACAGGAGGGACATAACAGTGTAGGAGGGACTGGTTTTCAAGACAAATTTTCAACTTAAGTATATGAGAAATTCTTAGCAAAGTGAAATGGAAAGAAGACCATGGCCTCCACAGTACATGTTACTGGATCCAAACTAGAGGTAGCAGCAAAAAGTCAAGGATATGAGGAATACCAAATGCAACGCCATGTGGCTCACAGGACAGACTGGCTGAGAAAGCTAAGGGAGGTTCTGGTTGGAAGCAAGGATCGGATCATGGCATCGCAATATTTGAATTCTGTAGCACACTGAAAAAAAAAAAAAGTAGTAAAATCTGTTAAATATTAAGGACGCGCTTCATGTAGGAAGTTTAACAGTGAACAGAAGAAAAACATTTCTGTTCCACATGAAATTCATAGGTCTTGTCAGATACGCACAACAACAGCATCTGTGTGGCATCCTGTGAAATCACTCTTTCTAAATGGCATTCTGCAGATGAAACACTATTTTTTGGCTACAGTCTTATGTAGTTTTGAACCAAACTTCATATCCACTCATATCTCCACATGCACAAAGCACTGACTAA